TATCAAAGAAATACAAAAATGCATAAAAATGTCACATTTTGCGGTGTTCCCTTTGTAAGTCGAATTTTTAAGAATTTTAACGATGATCACTATTATGTATTTAATAGTTTGCCCTCATTTTGTGAATAGATATCAATGAATGTCTTGTACGAAACGGTGGGTGTCCGTCGAGGTGTATCAACACTATGGGTTCGTTTAGGTAAGTGCTAGTTCTCTGGTGGGCTATATTTGGTCCACTGACGTCATTTAACTAATAAATAAGGCTCAGCCGTGGTTTATACTCTCATAAACCACACTTTTTTGGCCAATCAGAGCGCGCGTTAGAAATCATCTATATAATAAATCATGTTTAAAAGGCCTTACAAAACACAAGGCAAGCGTTTATTAATTGTATTAATTATGTATCAAACTAGAGAGAGAAAGCTTGTCATAAAATGCGTGAACAAATCTTGAAAACTGCGTCTTTTTGCGTTGAAAATAAAAATCAATGACATATTGGTTATTGAAGTATTTAGTGCAACTCTCGAGGTCGCCTTTGACAACTCTTTGGAATAGCGTTTGTTAGGGAAATTTCGTGGTCGCTCGAGAGTAAATAGCGAGAGAGACGTGGAGAAAGTCTACTGAATACTCTAATATTTACATCTACAGATGCGCATGCTCTGTTGGATACAAGAATATTCCGTCCTTCAATCAGTGCATCGACATTGACGAATGTAGAGAGGTACGAATCACGTGACAGATTTGTAAATTTAAATTGTATACCGCTGACCAATTTCACATCGCAGGGAACATCAGGCTGCTCTCAAGGATGCGTGAACACGAAGGGCTCATTTCATTGTTTTTGTCGAACTGGTTTTTGGCTTCAAAGTGACAAGAAAAGCTGCAAAGGTTTCTCTTTTTCTCAGAAAATGTTGAATACCAAATACCACATACTGCATGCATGCATTTAAATACCACAATGCATTGTTGGCATTGCCGCGTTGCAGAATGACAATACTAAGTTATAATTAATGGCTTTCCATATAGGTTCTAGACTGTACAAGCCGATATAGTCACTCTGAAACAATGCTTGAAAGCTCTCTTTGAACGGCTATGACCAACCATGCGGCCTTGCATTGTCTTGAGTATTCAAAGTTTTCTGAAATATCTGTACAAAAGCTGTGTAAAGGAAGGCCAAAGGCCGGTTTATACACTACAACATTAAGCAGAAGCAGAAGATGTTGTACGAGTGAACCTGTAACTAACATAAGAAGAAGCAGCCATTGTTAATTTTATACATGAATCAGACCAGTTTGAAGAATTGACGTTTGATTTTTCTAGAAATCAATAATAAAAGAAGACGAATAATACAACATGCATCTCAAGTGAAAGCATTTGATATTCACATCAAACCCATACAAGGCTTGCAATCAGTTCAAGGTACGTTAGTACGATACCTAAATATATGCCAAGTTGTCTGAAAATTTCCTGGTGTAGATGGAACTTTAAATAGCACACTCACCGTACCACGCTTTCAACTAAGTTAATTTACTAGCGCTCCGAAGAAAGGCATTGTGTGAGCGGCAAAACCTTCACTCGAAGCGCAGTTTGCGCATATGTAATAAGTATGTATTTTCCTCAAGTATTTCGGTAAAGATTTTGGTTTGGCTACCTTTTATTTTTTCCATATCCAATAATCCTTTTCGGTCTCAACAGTGCTTGATTCATCTAAAATGGTTCATGTTGTTAATTCAATAGCTTGTCCRTACGGYTATATTGGTCCAGGATGTCGAATCACTTGTGACGACTGCCAGCATGGAGCWCGGTGTGACATCAGAGAAGGAAGGTGTCTCTGTCCAACTGGTTGGACCGGTTTGACTTGTAATATATGTAAGTCCTACGAACAGGTTTAAGCAGACTATAGTAATTAATGGATGAAAGATTAGACCCGTACGTTTCCCAAATCGAATGCTACGTGCAAAGTGAATCTCGATTCGATGCTAAGTGAATGTCGATTCGATGCTAAGTGAATCTCGATTCGACCATAGTTTGTATAGGGAAATGGTTAGGAAGTCTTAGAACTTGTTGTAGATTTTGAATTGTACACTTTTTCCAAGCGCGACCGTGCAAAACCTTTCGATTAACAACAACAGAGCGAAAATTTCCTATTCTTCAAAATGCACAAAAAATTAACCAATATTGGAATATTTCATTTCATAAGGTCATGAAGAGCTTTTAAGTGCACTCATTTTGCAATTTCCATCGGTCCGTAAGAAAAAAGTTGTGCACGGGTTGACTGATTCCACCTCAAAATACATACAAAAGATGTACAACAAAAGGTTTCCAAACAATTTCCCTCTATTAACTATGGTTCGACACGAGGTTTCAATGATTCCATCATAGGCTTTTACTTGGGACGGGCCTAGTTGACCTTAAAAGTATAAACGCGAAAAATATTTGTAGCACGACGTTCTACAATCTCTGCCATTTATCATTTTTTCTTGCTCTTCGTAGCATGTGATTCAGAGCAGCTCGGACCAGATTGTCGGCTGAAGTGCGCATGCGTGAATGGAGGMAGCTGTGATCATCAAACTGGTTTATGTACATGTCCGCCAGGTTATCATGGGAGGAAATGTGAAGAAGGTACGCAATAGTCTCCTTCGCGGTTACCTGCGCCATCTTGAAAGGTAGCCGYGCCTTTRCATCGAAGCGAGACAACCGTTGAGCGTGCAATGATAGAAACCTGTGAATGATTGTCTGTAGGTGTGAAAGAAGGTTTCTATCATTGCACACTCAACGGTTGTTTCGTTTCGATGTAAAGGCACGGCTACCTTTCAAGATGGCGCAGGGAACCGTGAAGGAGACTATTTCGTCATTATGCTACGACATGTTGGCACAGTTACTTGCACGAAAATTGCTAAACATTAGAAAATACTTGGAAATCAAATAGACCTATCCATATGGGTCTAATAATCATGAAGCAACAGATTTCAACATATTGATACAAATCCTTAATAATTTGGGCAAAACATGTTGGAGTAAATGACGTCATTTACTCCATCCTTTTTTTCTTCCATCTTTTAAATCAAAGTTTCTCTGATGTGGGATAAATCCAAAAAAAATGTTTTCCCGCAATTTTTTCTGAGAGCTAAATGAGTCATATATTTGTATTGCTTGAAGTTTTGAAATAAGCAAGTAACACTTTAAAGGACCATCGTAAACCGGCATCCCTTGCGAGTGTTTCGCATAAAAGTTTATTTATAAAATGAGGATATAACATGGGCGCGGGGAGGTTCACGTATTTTATCTTCGAGTGTTGAAAAGATTTCTCACGAGCGAGATTATCAACACGAGAAGATAAAAGTCTTATCTCCAAGTGGACATGTAATATTCTGTCTATCATAGAATTATATATGAAATCAAATTATGCCGTAAAATACCTTTTTTTGCTTCCAAAGAGTAGAGAAACATCCAATGTGTTATTTTCACTAGTGAAAAAAGCAACTATTCGAAACAGAGAAATRTAGRTATTTCATAKATAATTATATGATRAATAAKYATCCMTAATAACATTTTCKTTTAGTCTGCCCAGAGGGTTCTTATGGCGTAAGATGTTCCTTCAAGTGTCAGTGTCAAAGTGGAGAGCCTTGTCGTCATGACAACGGGGCGTGTATCTGTAGTCCTGGATATACTGGTCGTAAATGTGATCAAGGTTTGTTATCACCATGACAACATCATTTTGCTACATTTACGAGTAACAGGGCCTTATATATCAGGAGCGTAAACTTGGACAGTGAACTCAGCCAGTTTTTTTTAGAGAGTCTCAAGGTATCCGATCGTTTCGATCCAAGTTGTTTCGATCCATTTTTAGGACGTTTCGATCCATTGTTAGGATGATTTGATCCACTTATATAACAACTCAAAATACATAAGTATATTATTACAGATATGTTAAAAAAAGGTTTTTAACTGTAATCTATGACTTAGCTTGCAATGTTAAGGAGAGAAAGAGTCTTGTAAGCGACGTTTTTCGATTGATAATGAGTTGTTGTTAATCGAAAAACTTTGGCCATACGAAAATATCCTCTTACAATAGTGTGTAAAGACGGACGCTATGGTAAAAACTGTGGTTTCCCCTGTTCCTGTCAATCAAACACCACAACACGTTGTCATCACGTGGACGGCTCGTGTATCTGTAAACCAGGATATCATGGGACAACGTGTCAATCAGGTAACAGATCACGTGATCGTCATCACATTATCGCTATCTTCACTCTTGTCCCTTTTTATTAGAGTGCCCCAACAATAGATATGGGAACAATTGTAAGGGTTTATGTAGATGTTTCCATGGAAACTGTGACCACGTGACAGGCGAATGCCGCTGTAAGCAAGGTTACCAAGGGAAATATTGTCAGCAAAGCAAGTTGCAATATACGAAGCCATGCTATCTAATAGAGTTCAAACACAAAAAGTGTGAAAAAGTACTAACAGAATARTGCCTAGGACTATTTAGTGTTTTTCTTGTCCTATTTCAGTTTGCAAGTCAGGTTGGTTTGGGAAAAACTGCCAACGACAGTGCAACTGCTCGAAAGATGTACAGTGTGATCCCGTAACGGGATCTTGTCAATGTCCCGCGGGACTAGCAGGAGAACGATGCGATCAAAGTAGGTAAATCGCATGTTTGTTAGGTCTTTATTCTAGACGCTTCTATATGATAACTTCATACGACACGTTATTTTCCTTAGATTGCCAATCTGGTTGGTTTGGGAAGAACTGTCAACAGCAATGTAACTGTGCTAGGGATGTGCACTGTGATCCCGTAAATGGATCTTGTCGTTGTCCCGCAGGACGAACAGGCGAGAGATGTGATCAAAGTAGGTAAAAACGAGTGTAGTAATTGTGCCATTTACTTGACACTTCTACAACAAAGCATGCTATTTTCCTTAGGTTGTCAGTCTGGTTGGTTTGGGAAGAACTGTCAACAACAGTGTAATTGTGACAGGGATGTAGAGTGTGATCCTATAACAGGATCTTGTCACTGTCCGGCGGGAAGAACAGGCGAGAGATGTGATCAAAGTAAGTTCTCAAAGTTTGCTTCAGGATGTTGTAGATATACTGGTAAAATGGGTGCGTTCGAGCGATTTTTTCTACACCTTCTTCAGCATCCTTTCACTTTATAAACTCATCAGATATCATAGACATTATTTGACCAGGGCTCGTTTCAGATAATTTTAATGTAATATTATCCATAACTGATGATTGAAACTTGTTTTTGTCCTTCTCCTTCCTTTCCTTTCACAGACTGTAAACATGGTTTCTATGGAGATGGTTGTATCACGACGTGCAATTGTCAAGGCAACGAGTCATGTGACCCTGTGACTGGCCACTGTATTTGTGGAYCAGGAAGAACAGGTAGAAGATGTGAACGTGGTAAGTTCTATATACTAGTTTTATTAAGGCATCCATCTTTTCCATCTTTGANGCGAAACTGCATTGTCTTTAGCGCGAACGAACGTTCATTAACGCTTAGGGAGTTTCAAGAGCGTGAAGGGAGAATCATTAACATATTTAGCATAGACATGGACAATCATGCATAACTGGGCGCAGATTCATTAACGTTTTCAAACCTTCATTAGCCCATTATGTGCATTCAATAAACTACAACAAACATACAATACCAAAATACGGACATTTAATTTCGTCATAGTATTTATTTCTAGGATTTAAAGAGTGTTTAATAAGTGTGATATTTTACATACAAAAATTATCTTCATCCTTGAATATGCTCTCTATTTAAGCATCTTGGTAAATAAGTTTGCATATGGTTGCGGTAGAACTATTAACCCCCAATGTAGCGGCAACCGCTAGATAATCCTCGGCCGGGTCCTCATACGCTCTTACAAGACGCTCTTTCACTTCGCTCGAAATTCGATGTCGACGCGGAGGCATTGCATTCCAACTTTAAACAAGTCGTAGTAGCTGTAACGAGTCATATTTCATGCTGAAATTTGACTGCAAAAACTATGACGAAATTAAATGTCCGTATTTTGGTATTGTATGTTTGTTGTAGTTTATTGAATGCACATAATGGGCTAATGAAGGTTTGAAAACGTTAATGAATCTGCGCCCAGTTATGCATGATTGTCCATGTCTATGCTAAATATGTTAATGATTCTCCCTTCACGCTCTTGAAACTCCCTAAGCGTTAATGAACGTTCGTTCGCGCTAAAGACAATGCAGTTTCGCTTGATTGAAAGTCCCTTCGCGGTTAATGAACAGCAAAAGGTGTATTAAGATCTTATCGTTTCTATAGAATGCCCACATCAAAGATACGGTGCCAACTGTAACCAGCGGTGTGATTGCGTAAAGAATGCGCAATGTAATCCTGTGACTGGCACGTGTATCTGCCCGCAAGGTTCTACGGGAAGAAGGTGCGAAAAAGGTTGGTGTCACATGGTACTACAGCCATGCTTTGCGTCCTTTCATTTAGCTGTTGACTTCAGTGTGGATTATTAGATGAGGGGTACGTTCCCGACTGGCAAAACAAAAGAGACCTCTTTCCATCAAATCAGTTTCTCTTAAAAGATGTATTACTTTACAATATTTTATTTGTTCCTGGTTCCTTAGAATGAGTTTCATTTACTTTGCAGCGATTGGTTGTCTTGAATCACATGACTACTGCCTTAACAATGGCACTTGTCATGCGTCTACTGCTGTATGTCAATGTAAGCCTGGTTGGGTCGGAAAACACTGCGAAAAAAGTAAGAATTCCCCCGCTCACCCTTTAAGGCTCCCCTTTTTGATGGGGTCGAACGGTCAAAACGTCGGCGTTCCATTCGATGCTCATATGCTGCATTTGGACCTTGATGTAATTGCCAGCTTTCACGTCCGAGCAGGAGGCTGGGCTCGAGTTTTAAAATTGCAAAAATCGTAAGTTACCTATATCATCTTGAAGAGCACATTAAAATTGATAATATCCCCAAGTTTGGTTTAGTTCAGATTACTATCTAAGAACTTGAATGTACAGATTGTGGTGAAAGCATTCCAACCTATACATTTTGGTCAATTTAGATTTGCTCTTTCAGATAATGTAGGTCACACACCGATAAGTGCAAGTTTTAAAACTTGTACCCAGTTTCCTGCTCGGACATGAAAGGTGGCAATATCTATTTAGTGGGTTGTATAACATTTTATATGATTCTGTTATCAGTGTGTGCAACTGGTCAATATGGTGACGGATGTCGTAACAATTGTTCTTGTAACATATGATCTGATTCTGTTATCAGTGTGTGCAACTGGTCAATATGGCGACGGATGTCGTAACAACTGTTCTTGTACTTCGTTTGAGGAATGCCATCACCAGACTGGCAAATGTAGAAGAGGTTGGTTCGCCTTTGTATGTTCGTCATTTTACCTTACTCTAATAAGGTTCTTAGTTTGTGGCCCATTTCAAACGCCTACTTGGTGCACCATCCTTTTCCCAGTCTTCCTTCCCTTTCTGCTTACTCTCTGTTTTCCCTTTCTTCTGCCCCGCTTCATCCCCGGCCTCATCCTTCAATTACAGCGGTTTTATATTCAGTTTTATAAAATTTTTGATATATAACGCGCGCTTTGATTGCCTGACGACCGTGTTTATATCAGAGGACAGAGACACGGCTTACCGGCAAAATTTCCTTTTCGCTCGAAACATTTTATAAAAGAAATATAAAACGGCCGCTTGTGTCTCTGTCCTCTGATATTAACACGGTGGGAGTTGAAAAACACTCGAGAAGCAAGAGAAACACTCGCAACGCTCGTGTTCCTAAGCTTGCTTCTCTCGTGTTTTTCGAACTCCCACCGTGTTTATATCAGAGGACAGAGACACGCGCGCCGTTTTATACTTCTTAAACATTAGCTACTAAACACAAATTGCTAAGTTTTGTGCCTTCTCTTGTGCCTTAGTTTGTCCAAAGAATTTATATGGAGTTAACTGCTCTGAAAAGTGCCAATGTCCCAAGAATGCTATCTGTGATCCAAAAAATGGAGATTGTCTTTGTGAGCCTGGTCGATATGGAACAAGATGCGACAAAGGTACAGTAGTATATGATAAAAGGACTTTTTTAGTTCTGGTTCGCTTATAGGTTCACTCCACAAAACTAACTTTTTCTTCTTAGACATCGAGAGAAATAAGATCAGATTAAATTTTTACACTTAGCTTGTTTCGCCCTAACTAGAGTTCAACTAATGTGAGCCTTCGAGCCAGAGTCTTTTGCGACTGCTAGCTCCTGTTCTTCGAATAACAGACCTTTTTCTTTTTATAAAAAATTTGGCTTAGAATTCCAATATCTTTTTGGGCAGTGAGTTGATTTATGCAGATAGCAATAAAATGAGCATTTCCTTTTCGCTGCAAAGAAAATGTGTGGTCTCCTTACAGCACATCGAACATGGTTTGGCGACAAACATCTGCCCAGTTTGGTGTCACGTACCTTGTTTGATGGTGTTTGGTGGTGCATCTTATAAAATGTTGGATGGAGTTCGCAGGCATTAGGCCAACGAAGAACTCAACAATCTCGCTTGGCTAGGGCTGTAGACATTATCTAATAACTACATGTAGTTTGTCCAAAGGGTCAATATGGAAGAAACTGCCTGTACAACTGTACTTGCCACAATGCAGCACCTTGCAACCCAGCTACAGGAATCTGTATCTGTCCACCAGGATGGATAGGAGCCGAGTGTAAAAATAGTATGTATATTTTAAGAGCATTATAAAATATTTGATATCTATTTACTGCACAAAGAATCGTAATAACACTTACAGTCTCCATCACAGATAAGAAGACAAAAGGTGGCATAATTCTCAATAGTTTTCGAAACCTTTTTCGTTAGAGTGTCCCGACAACACGTACGGAAAGAATTGTCAGCAAAAATGTAAATGTTACCATGGTAATTGTGACCACGTGACAGGCGAATGCCGATGTAAGCCAGGATACCAAGGAAAATACTGCCAAAAAGGTATGAGGCATAATGGTTCATTATCCAGCAAAACTTATGAAGTGGATAACGCCATCCTGCACCTTTCATGCAACTGCCATCTTATGCTATAAATGTAAATTACACATTACATCAGATTTTTTTTGTTTTGTTCAATTCAGAATGCCCGAAAGGCTTGTTTGGTTATGACTGTACAGGGATATGCATGTGCAATAACCTTGCCATCTGTGATCACGTGAATGGGAAATGCCATTGTGGCGTTGGAAGGACTGGGTTATATTGCGAAAAAGGTAAAAAGAAAAAAAAAAGAAGAGTTGGGGAAACTTTGTTCACAATAAGTTTTTGGAAGATTGCGCATCATCCGTTAGAGCAAACGCAGGAAAACCATGAAATAAAACCAAACTTAATACTAACAAATAGCAGATATTTAGAGACAATTTGTCAGTATCAATGAACCAGAAGGCAATGAAGATGAATCCACATGGGACCGACACTGTTGAAAAACGCACTGCGCATGCCCACGGCTTTCCCGCCAGTGGGCGCTCGCGTCTTGAAATCTGTAAACAGAGCGCCTGGCAATTTACAGCGACAACACAGAAACACTACGAAAAACCTCATTTTCTCAAAATAGAAATGACAAGATAAAAATAGAAACTACATACTAAAAGGACATATCATGAACAATGATTTATGGAAATATGAATCGTATATATCAGTGAACGAGCTTATAAATTGTAAAAAACTTTCACAAAAATCGYTTTACAAAGGAAATTAGGCAGATTTCAGCGGGAACAGTGGACATGCGCAGTGCGTTTTTCACCAGTGTCCATGAGACCATTTTTAATCCATCTTCATTGTGTTCTGGTTCATTGATACTGTCAAATTGTCTCTAAATAGCCGCTATTTGTTAGTATTTAGTTTGGTTTTATTTCATGGTTTTCCTGCGTTTGCTCTAATACTTTGATCAATAGACCTAATCGGCTTCATCCCAATTCAAACCACCCGGGAGTAAGTTTAATTGTTCGTTGTATTTTCATTTCACAGTTGAATTCTTAAAAACAAAAGTTCTTTTTCCCACAAGATTTGAATTGGTGGCAACGTACATAGCAACGCCGTTAGCCGATTGGGTCTATACCATGGTGTACTTCTCCTAAACAAACATGACGTCATTAGTGGAAACGACTAATCAAGTTTGTTATTTGCAGCATGCCCATTTGGTTACTATGGTTTCAACTGCGAAGAATTTTGTAATTGTCAAAACAAAGCCCCGTGTGATCCTGTGACAGGATGCTGCCTGTGTCGGCCGGGATGGTATGGTGACAAGTGCCAATTTCGTATGTATGAATGAATTCTAAAGTGAATGTCATTTTTTCATGGCGTTTACCGTGTTTGACCAAATATGGTAAGCCCTAAATCCCGTATGTAAATGCCTTTTTTCTCCACAGGGTGCCCTTCAGGGCGATATGGTTTATATTGCACCAAAAAGTGTGACTGCAAAAACGGTGGATTATGTGACCCAACGACCGGAAGCTGCCTCTGTAAGCCGGGATGGACTGGAAAAGAATGCGAAAATGGTACATTCAAAATTCATAGGCTGATCCCTTCGGAAAGGCTGTCATTTTTAAATGAACTTATGAGTTTTTGACTTACATTCACGGGGGGAAAAAACAAGTTTCCGTTTTGCGTAAAAAAAACATGCGATACTATTTTAGATTACAAACTTCTTATGAAATCGTTATCTTTATTCAATAAGCTTAAATATAGTTTGCCAGCGTTTATCTTAATGCGACGCAAGAATAAATTTGTGAAGAGATATATCGCAAAGGTTCACAGTAACCCTTAATAACCAAAAAAAAAAAAAAGAAAGAAAAGAAAAGAAAAGAAAGAAAAAATGATTTCTAAGAAAATGTGCTTTTGTCTTGCATCTAATCTTTGGCAATTCAAATTTATTAACTGCAGTATCGATATTTTGTTCTTTAGAGTGCGCGGCGAATAAATATGGAGCTGAATGCATTAATCCATGTGATCATTGCGATGCTGTGTTCTGTGATCCACAGACAGGACGATGTCATTGTCCACCCGGTAAGACGGGTTGGAACTGCAAAGAAGGTAATCGATACTTTGTCGGAAATAAATCAAATAGGATCGATAGTCGTTCGAGTTAGCTGGCCTTAACACAGGCTTATGTCATTAAGCTCGTTGAAATTATTATTTAATAAATAATAATTAATAAGTCCAGACAATGACGCATACTGGCCAATATACAGCAATATGCGAAATTATGATCTTTTTTGCTCATATTTAAGGTATATATAAAATATATCAGAAATTATTGGATATCATTGCCAATATTTTTTTCAGGAAGACCTAGTACTATTCAACTTCAAAAAAAAATATCAGCGATATCCCATAATTTCTGATATATTTTATATATACACTTGGAATATGAGTCAAAACTATCATGATTTCTGAATATTGCTGTAATTTATATGTTTTTCATAATTACCATGTTGTATTTTTGATAACAGAATGTCCCCAGGGCACCTATGGCCCGGGATGTGTGAACCCCTGTACGTGTGCAAATAACTCCACGTGCGATTCAATCAGTGGGAAGTGCATATGTCAAGAGGGATGGACTGGACCCGAATGCACAAAAGGTGAGCTTTAAAGGGCTACTTTGACGAAAATTGCTAAACATTAGAAAAGACTTGGAAATCAAATACACCTATCCATATGGGTCTAATAATCATGAAGCAACAGATTTCAAGAAGATATTGATACAAATCCTTAACAATTTGGGCAAAAAATGTTGGAGTGAATGACGTCATTCAAAATCTGAAGAAAGAATAACTATAAATCCTAATAATTTTTTGTGTTTGTTTCAGAAAACAAAGTCGAAAGTAAATATTCAGACGACCATTTGTTTACGATCAACAAACTATGACGTCATAAGACTCAATAAGACTGGAGGATCTGCTATATGTAACCAGCCCTCGTTATATCGGCCACAGTCGTTATTATATATCTTTCTGTATCATACGCGGTCGCTTTGGATTGGGGCCGGCAATATATTCCAACATTTACTAAAATATCTACCTATCAGCTCTCTCTAAAATTGAGGTTTTTGTGATGCAAACGTGGTTTCTCAAGCTAAGTGCTAGGAGGGTTTTGATGATGGCAGTGTTGCTGCCGCTTTGCGACTGTCATCAAGTCTGAATGTATTAGGAAAAGATAGTGGGTGAAGGTTATGCAACTGTCATTAAGTTTAAGATAAAATGACTGAATGTATTAGGCAAAGATAGTGGGTGAAGGTTATGCGACTGTCATTAAGTTTAAGATAAAATGACTGAATGTATCAGGCAAAGCTAGTGGGTGAAGGTTATGATGATGATTATGAAGTGGTACTATGCCTTTGCGAGTGTGATTACGTTTATGATAATGATGATGCTGGATAAAAGGGCCATGGTCAACCAGAATTCAATGCGATCGTACTTTAGATTTTTCATTTATGGAAAATGAGGTTACTTCGAATATCCATTCGCAATATATTGGAATTTACACTTTTTCGCTGTATATTTACAAGATCTGTTCATTTTGAGGCCGTCAGACCGAAGCGGAAAACCGCTTGTTTACCGTATACCGTTTGGCTTTCCGCTTCGGAAGAAAAATCGAGAAGAGGTTAATTCCAACTTCTGGTAAAGGATTTTCTTAGACGGGTTCTCAGTTTTTTCTCTGCAATCACTAAACCTCACGATCATGAAGTTCTCCTGCAATCCATCTAAACCAAAGAATTTATTTAGTTATAATTATAATCTTTTTACCAGGGAATAAACAAATAAAAATAACACCATTTCATTTATCTGGATGATTTGCTGATTTTTTTGGCCTTGATCCATTCGTCGATTCTATTCTTGACGTCTGTCGCTGTAAGCAAATAAAATGGAGTATGAGCTTGGGTGAGAAGGATTTGTCGTACGACTTCGATACAGGGATGTCCACTGTTCAATTTTTTAGCAACTTGGTAGTCGTTAGACAGATCTTTTTCGCCTGAGTCAGGGCTAGAACACACGTCCTCGGACATATTGTTGTAATACTAGTAATAGGTGTAATAACATCAATGAATTACCCGGGACAAGCATCTCTTGGTTCAGCGGTTCTCTATTAAATGGATCTGTAGATGAGTTTAATAAATGCCTTGTGATCACTGGTCGGTCCATCACCTTACCGCTGGTCGGTAGGATCACGGGATCAGCCATCAATGTCATCATCAAGGGATCTAAAAATAGACAATGACATAGACAAAGTAAGGTATCGACTTAATTTCAAGAAAAGAGAAGAGAAGAAAATGAAAGAGAAGAGAAGAGAAGAGAAGAGGGGAGAGAAGAGAAGAGGAGAGAAGAGAAGAGAAGAGAAGAGGGGAGAGAAGAGAAGAGAAGAGAAGAGAAGAGAAGAGAAGAGAAGAGAAGAGAAGAGAAGAGAAGAGAAGAGNGTTTCGTTCGATTACCGTTCTTTTACAAACAATTTAAGTTGTTCTTCTCTACTCACCTCTGGTTTGTTCAGTGTTTTCTGCATATGTTTACATGCATCATCAAATAAATCCTTTCTATAAGATCTCTGAAATCAGAAGAATAATCCCAGTAAATCTTTGCGCACCCATCAATTCCACCCATCAATGAAATCCGCCAATCGGCGCGCGTGTTAGATTGAACTAATTGAACTAGAGCGGATTCCGTATGAGTGGGAAACAGACGGTACTGTACTGTGACCTTAATCGTACTGTAACCAAATTCTAGTGCCCCATTGGCTCACCAAAATTGTGCAGGCCAGGTCCGGTAACTGTGCGGTAACCGTGCGGTAACGGTGTCCCACTCATACGAAATCCGCTCTAATATAAAATATACAATATACACAACTTTTAAGAAGAAAGTTTAGTTACCTGGTCACATGCAACGGCATTTGCAAACTCATCTGAGCTCAAGTGTATGTAGATGTCAATCAATCTGTCCAGCAGTTTCTTGGGTTCAAAGCCGTACTTCTCGGGTGACTTCACCTAAAATCAATATGAAGCTTGATGTTTTAAAGCATATTACAGCGGAAATCGTTGCATCGCGACTTCTTTGTTTTGAAGTTTGTCTGGATTTTGTTCTTTCTTTTGTCTCTTTCAATCTAAGGGGAGGAGCTTTTCGAAAACTCGTTCAATCATTGGCTGATTAGTATCAAGCTCCGCCCCCAAGTCGCAGAAAAACCTAAATCCCAACTATTTCCTTTGAACATTGAAGTCGCGATAAAACGGTTTCTGCTGTAATGGAGAATTTCCTTCAATAGCGCGATCTGCTCTTGGAGCACACAACACAATTTATCATGCACCATAATGACATTATTACAATTGCGCTATCGCATAATTTACGTCACATCAAAACATTCTATTGTTTTAAATGGTCAACAGAGGGGATCAGAGTGACTGCATATCAAATAAAATGTAGATGAGCTATCATTGATAAATTGTGTACATCAAAGCTCGATACACTAAAATTCTACTTTCGGAAAGAATGTTAATAGGTCCAAATTTCGAGTCTTTCTGAGAATCTATCCACAATGTAAACATACTATGAAGTCAAAATGCAATTTAGCATCTCAGCCCCTGGATCAGGTGCCTCAAAGCTCAATCTGGATTAATGTATTTCTTCATAAATGGTTACCTTTAAGTTTCGGCATTTAGGTCCACATAATTGTTGCAAGTTAAAGTTCAACATGGCAGCCAATCGATCTATCAATTCCTGCAAACAATTTATTTTTCACATTTAGCAAGTATCACTAGGCAACGCCATTTTCACACACAATGCATGAAGAGAGATATTCACCCTTTTAATAAGTCCCGAGGTATTGTGTTCTCAGCACTTGACGTAAAATTTATTCTTTTGAAGTTTTTATACATTACAAAAGGAATTCAAGAGAATAAATTTTACGCGGAGAACACAATAAAGAGTTTTAGATTCACGTTTTCTGCAAGAGCCAAACGTCAAATTGGTTTTTATGTTTTGTCTCAAAATTTCAAACAAACATAAAAAAAAGGAATAGTGCAAAAGGTGCATAGACTCCCCAAATTTAATTTCTGCGATTTTTTACGTTATATTGATGTTCGCCTGCGTAGCCAGGCGTTCATAGCTGCTGCGAGAGAGTTTAGGCCGCAGAAACCGGCCCAAACTCTCTTGGAGCGGTTAGGAACGCCTGGCTATGCAGACTATATTTATATTAATTATACTAACAGGTCTTAGGAACGGTTCTCTGACGTCCTTTGTCAAGTAGTGCATCATGTCCAGGGTTTCTGAGGCAAGGGTCAAGTACGATCGGCACTGGCGCTCGTCTGTTTCCAGTTGACGCTGTCGACTAGTGCGATTTTCCTAAAAACAATGCACAAGTATTTTAGTATTTTACTAGACCACGAACTCCAGTGGACAACGAGTTGATAATCCATAAGGCCGTTCTCTTATCAACTCGTAGTCTACGTAATCGCAAAACTAGAAATTTTAAAAAGGACATGATACTGTATAACAAGAAGGAGCATAGTTCAGTAGCCAATCAGAATTCTAGTTTGATGATAGCCCATAGTGTTTTGGATACTAAAGGCCAGTTTGCACTTGCGATTTTTTCGCCTGAGTTTCGGACTTGTTTTTTTTTAATTTCAATTTCAATTTTAGTTTATTTACACTAATTCGTATGTATTACATAAACAAGGAAAATTAGAAAAAAATTAATGAATATATTGTTAGAGACAGAGTGAAAGTGTATGTTGGTCAAAGGAGCTTCAAATTTAGCTGCAAATTCGCTGTGATTGGCTGTTTACAAGTACGATTTGAATTGTGCGATAGCAAAGTGGCGATTACCGCGCGACAAATCGCTGCAAAAATCGCAAGTGTAAAAAGGGATATACATGAGTTATGAATTTTGTTAGGTAATGAAATGAAAAAAATAGAAACTATTGTTATAATCATTCACTACTGAAAGCATCGTTCATAAATGGTCGCTAACAGCTTACCCGTGTCAAGGCCTCCCATTCAGCGGTATTCGCCATCAGTTGTTGGATTTCATTGATTCGCTTTAGTGAATCGAGAGATTCGTCCAATAGGAAGATAGTATCGTTAATTAGCATATTAACAAATCGCACAAATCCATCTTCACTATAAGAGAAAAAAATGAAAGCACAACATCAAACAATGTTTCAAACGGACATCATGTTTTGAACGGTTGTGCGTTACAGATAGGGACTGTGCAGCGTCGTCATAAATACAACAAAGAATGATATAGACACTGGAAAAAATCGCACGCTTTAAAGTTTGTAAATTTGATGTGAATATGATGTAAGTGTCCAGAAATCTGTAAAATTGATGTAAATGATTTCCATTAAACACCCCGCTACAACGGACAGCTTAATATTGCGGACAGTAAAATACTGAATCTCCGGCGAAAAGTACAAAGAAATGACTGAAAGTAACTCTCGTCACTACGGACTCTCGCTACTGCGGACACTAAATTACGGTCCCGAGGGTGTCCGTAATAGCGAGAATTGACTAAATATGGCCGTCCTGGTTTTGTCTTTTAGTTCTCAAGGGAAGATAAGAAGGGAGGATTGAACACTAACCTGCTTTGTCTAATGATTGACATACGATGAAAATGATCGTCCCACATGCTTTTCATAATGATTGATATGTGATATCTGATGCTGAACTTATCATAGAATTCATTAGAGCTCCCAGTCGTCTCAACATCTAAAATAGAACATTTAACACTGAAAAACCTAACTTAATCTGATAAAGCGCCCGCGGCGCACCTTGTAAAAATGGTAAAACCGGCTTTAAGTATAGTTTAAAACATGATCTAGAGTGTTTTAAAAGGATTCAAAAACTCCAACACTAATTTGAAACTCAAATCCGTTAAAATTCTTGGAGAAATTGTCATAAAAATAAGTTTTGAGATAAATGGGGCAAACTGATCATGCGCGAATCACTTTACAAAGCACTCTTGTCATCCCATATTGAATACGCATAAAGTAAAATAGAAGGACTGGTGGCTGTTTTAGTGCAATCGGTTGGTGGAATGACCACTGATAGCAACAAATGATAAATCCTTTGTTGAAGTTCCCCTCCAAGATGGCCGCTCTGACGTATAGCGAAAACGAAGAATATACTGAAAATTTCGGAAAATACTTCCATTCACAAAATGGCCGTTAGCTGTCAGTAAGCTAGGTGCTCTATCATCAAACATACCAGTGTAAAACTTCATTAATGCCGGTGCAAGGAATTCCTGCGCAAGCCGATGTCCCATAATCATCTCATGTACTTTGACCGTGCGCGGCTGAATGTTAGGATTGAGAACAAATATAACCTGTAGATAAACAAACAGTGAGAACATTTGCAAAGTGGAAAAATCAGTGTTAATAGACTACGTGATGTTATCGTCTACTATTTGGGGCAAAACGAGTCTATAATTCAAACACTTGTTGGATAAAATGACGAACGGCAATTACTCTATTTCATTATGACTTCAAGTATGTTTACATCGGAGAAAGATGCCCAAAAAGGTGGAAGTTCGGATCCATTTTTATTCGCTCCTGAGGTCGAACTTCAACATTGTATACATGCATCAGGAGTTTCAGAGAACAATGTGTCCGCCATCTTGAAAAGTGGGCCCTGAATCACTGTTTTGCCTTAGAACAAATTTCATAGTTGCTTAGTCAACTAATCTATCATCATAACGTATATTATAATAAATTTAAATTAACTTAGAACTTTTTAATTTCTTTAGGAGTTATAATTTAGTGATTTGAGTCTCACTTTTCAAGATGGCGGACGCATTGTTCTCCGAAACTCCTGATGCATGTATATAGTGTTTTGATATATGTAATGTACCAAAGATTGCTCGTGTACACTTTTTATTTGATATGCAGTCACTCTGATTCCGTATGGCGACCATAAACCATATATGTTAGCGTTAAAACGATTGAAAGTTTTGATGTGACGTCATAATCAAATAGGGCAATTGTCGAACGGAGATTGCACGGCCTAAAGAAGCCATGGAATTTGCTAATTGATGGAAAGATTAATTCTGTAAGATAGTCTGTTAACTTTTATCATCAAAATGCTTTTCTGCTTGACAATATTTTTTTTTAACTCGACAACTGTGCCCATATCATACCTCAACAATCTTGGCCACAAGATAAGGGTTTGATATATAATGAGAAGAACAAGCAAATACAATAAGAAATCGAACTATATCGGTAACCGCTGGATCCTCATACACTTGAGGTGCATGCCTGAAACAAAAACGACAATCAATGAATTAAAGGAGTAATGTAATAGTGCAGGCTTAAGCTACAGTATGAACCAGCTATTTCAAAATACATAACTAGAGTAAAGTCATTATGCACCTATCAATGTTAAGCCCCCAGGGGGGAGGCTGGGCTAGGGGTGGGGATTAGACATTTTTTCATTTTTCATCCCCCCCCCCCCCCCCTGGGGGCTTAACATTGATAGGTGCATCAAACCCATGAAACAGAATCTGACTATTAAAGTGTGATAGTCAAATAGACACAAAAGGAAACAGTGCAATTAGAGCGTACTAAGGTATATTAATGTAATATCTATTTCACGGCTGCTCCAAGGACAAGATAAAGGCCCGTTTACACTTGCGATTTTTGAAGCGCGATTGTCGCGCGACAATCGCTTGAGTTTCGCATATTCTTGAAATTTGGTTGGAACTTTTGGCGATTTTCGATCACCGCGACAATCGCAGGGCTGTTTAACACGTACGAGTTGACGTGCGCGAGAACAAATTGGAGATTGTCGCGCGACAATCGCGCAGCAAAAATCGCACGCGTAAACGGGCCTTAACATAGTGATGAGAAAGAATTTGGAAAAGAAATTCGGAAACAACTAGTTACAACATACAGTAGAGTGCAAACACTAGAACATGACAAAATTCGTAATTAAATAGTGCTAAATTATGGGAATTCCTTTCGTTTTCTATTGTCCAATCTACAATATATTGTACTACGCCTATTGAGAGTTTCAGTTGTGATATGTATTTACTTACGGATTGATAAATAAGAGAAATTCGGCTATGTCTTCAATAAAGTAGTCAGGAAGAGCAGCAAACTCTTTAGGTATTTCAGCAGCTAGTGGTAATATTGTCCTGAGAAAGATATGGAAGTTATCAGATGGGCTCGCGGAGATCATACGAATTGATGTAGCTTGTATAGAAAACGTTGAATACTGAATACTGTATAATGCGTAGAGTATTCCAAGACCGCAGTGCATTGTTGCTATTATACTCCACGTTTGGTGCGTTACAAAATGACAAGTCTAAATTGAAATTGATTTTCAATTAAAGTTCTTGGCTGTGCGGAGCTGGTATACTAACGGCTCTGAATCCATGAAAACACTTTTTGAAAAACGATAGACCGACCAGCAGTGCATTTTGATCTGGGAATACACTATAACGTATCAGGATTCAGGATTCAAAGTTTTCTGAAATACATATAGCTGTATAAGCGGGGAGGCCTCCTAGTGTAGCTTCTAATCGCATCATGACTGAGTACAATAAGAGACACTAGCCAGGGATGCCTGAGGCACAATAATTACGTTACTTTCTTGGAGCCTCTGCAATGGAACCTCAGCCACAGAAGCGACATCGAAAAGTGCTCGTATTAACGGGGTGGTCGTGAGGCGGGGTTCCAACAGCCTCTGGGCATCTCATATTCACAGTACAGTGGAACCTCGGCCACCGAAGGGACACTGAAAAGTGCTCGTATTAACGGGATAGTCGTAAGGAGTGTAAGAAGTAGCAGCGATGTAGTTTTACATACCTGTCATTGTCAGCCTTCACTACATTTAGTATCCATTGACAAGCCATACCATAATATTTCATACATGATTGCAGTATTCTTTCGTCTACTAGTCCAGCATCTGACGTCATTTTACTTGTCGCTAATTTCTAAATAGAAAAATATATTAATAACAGCTCAAGGGCCATGGTCCACCAGCATTCAATGTGGTCTTAAACTATCACATGTATGGCAAATGAGTCGACTTTAAATATCCATTGGCGATCGGTCACTTTTCAGTCACTTGAGCGGGCTAAGGACTGTTAATTCAATTATCTCTAGTTCTCCGAAGAACCTTACCTCTATTTGCGCCCTCCATTTCTTCAATAACAATTTATTTCTAACTGCAATAGGGCTCTCCATCCATTCACTTTCCTGTGATTCTAAATGCTCCACAGTCCTTGTGAGGTCACGAATTGCCCTAAGTCGACGTGTGTATCGTCTACAGCAAGGTATGACAGCTAAGTGATGGGCTGCATATGCCATGTAGAAACACTCGGTCGGAAACTTGGGCTCTGTATTTGGATCTATATTTTAAGTAACAATGCGTGTAAGAACTATATAGGGAACTCTCTATTATTCTGCGGCAATTGCAAATTTCCCACATACGAATGTCTTGGCTTTCACATTGATTATATATCAACCTATTGGTAACACACTTTAAAATAAAATGTGGATAGACTCTGTTTTGAAACAAAGTTTCTTTTGTATTAAAAGATCTTGTCCACTATAAGCACCAGGAGCTGCACTCGAAACGATCGGCAAATGGTGCTTCTAATTTGCTATGTTCCTCACAAAGAATTGCTATTAATATTGAAGCTAAAGAAAGCTTTCATGAAGTTAGAATCAGATATTAAATAAAATACAAAAAAAATGTGCTAACTTGTGAGTTAAACATAATTAATTAGAGATCGATGTGGATCCGAGATCCTTTGCGGTAGTTAAAATTGTTTTGAAAAAGATCTGCGACTGAAAGTTTCTTTCTGATTGGTTCGAAATCAAAGATGCCGACTTTTCGTATTGGAGAAAATCATGCAAAGGTTCTCAAATGAATGTGTCTCTTTAAACTGATAAAAAAGCCATGAAAATACAGTACAAAACATACTGATTTTTTGACATATTGTTTCATAACTTGAAGTGCGTTTACGGTCACTATGTCACGTTGTCACACAAATTATTCGTCTCAAGTCATTTTAAGATGTGTCACACAACATGTCACACTGCGTGTAGTGGTCATCTTACCACACTAGAAATAAAGGAAAGTTAAAGTGCTAGGAAAGAGTTTTTTCCGGGAAAAAAACCCTTGGAAATAAATTCGGAAAAATTAATTTCCGACCTCGCCGGGATTCGAACCCTTGGATTTTCACTACCGATGCTCTACCAGCTGAGCTACAAGGTCAGACTGGGAGCAGATCGGGGTGAAATAGAACCCTCCTTCCAAGCACTACAACTTTCCTTTATTTCTGTATCATCACTGGAAAAAATCGCGCGCTTTCAAGGTTGTAAATTTGATGTAAATATGATGTAAGTGTCCAAAATTCTGTAAATTTAATGGAAATCTGTATGTATGTCCTTCAGTAGTTGGAGAGAATAAATTGAAATGCGAATGCAGCCTACTACTGGAAAAGAAGCCAGAAAAAATCTGACTTTGACAGTAGTAGGCTGCATTCGCATTTCAATTTAATGGTAATCATTTACATCAAATTTACAGAATTTTGGACACTTAYATCATATTTACATCAAATTTACAACCTTTAAAGCACGCTATTTTTTCCAGTGCATGTATCTGTTAGTGTCATGCGGTTCTTACATTTATACACTTACCACACTGTTCTTTCCATTGTTTGACTTCATTAGACGTCGCTTTGAGCCTGCTGTCATCTGGAATGGTCAGCCTGCACTTGGAATTGAACAAGTAACAAGTATCCACCTATACAACAGAACAACAAATGTTTCATTCTAGGGTTGAGACATGGGATATTGTTTTACTCGTGATCCCGTGTTTTCGTTTTTTTGTTGTTTTTGTTTTGTAGTTTTTTTGTTTTGTAGTTTTTTGTTTTGTTTTGTTTTTGTTTTTTTTACAAAAAGTTTAATCCTTGACCTCAAATTTCCAGATCAAATTTGATCCCTGATCCCACAAAATTTGCGTAAGTAATCCTATGCATTCATATTTGCAAATTTTTCACGCCGAACAAACTACTTGTGATCTCGATCCCACACAAAATTCTGATCCCTGATCCCACATCCCGTGTCACCAAATCTCCTTCACAATTGTCAGGGCCATCATGTAAAATCCCTAAGTCACTAGCATGGGAACTATTTATGATAGTCAATTTTGGTTCGATGACTATGTACAAAAGAACACACACGAGGCTTTGGGGAAACAATGGATAATCTTGATTTATTCTTTTATTTCCCCAGAACCTCGTCTTCAATTCTTTTGCGCATGGTCACTGAACCAAAATATCTAAAATCGTCTATTGCCATTTTGCCATATCTAAGATATGAAGTCCTTACTTTTTCCACTTTGACTTTAACACACAACTGCTGTAGAACTGACATGAAATTCATCATAAAACCATCACTTGCAACTTGTCTATCATCAGCCTAAACAACAAGAACACTTGTCAGATAATCTTCAATATTCACTTGAAGAAATATAGTTTTATTGAGTCTCGTTCACAGCATCCCCTTTGGTCAGGTCTCTTGTCCAGTAATACAGCACCGATCAAAACCTGCATTTTGATTGCTGCTTAAGTACAGCAGCTCTATTGTTAGACTAGGTTTTGTTTTGTTGTTAAAAGACAATCATGAGACCCGTTCCAATCGGTGCTGACTGGCCCCTCCTGTCCTCTTTTTGGAGGGACAGTTTCATTAATCATTTACCATTATATACAAGAATATACTTGATGTAAGCAGTCTAGTAAAGAATCATAATGATCCAATATTGTGCCACCAGGGAAAGACTTACAAGGGTGTGTGCAGGTCACATGAACCTAATTAGGCTGTAGACCTATTCATTAACACAACAACATCAAATGTGGATATTTATGGGCCATTCCACATTGATTGGAATGAGTCTCGTGATAGGTTGAGAAACAATGCACAAATTACAGTACAATAGATAAATCTTCCAACAATAAAACAAAACCTAACCTAACAATAGATCTGCTGTGCTTACATGTAAGCAGCAGGTTTTGATCAGTCCTTTATGACAAATCAAAACGTTTTTCAAAAACGATTTTCTGTAAGTTGAAAGCTTTAATCTAGACGTACATGAGTGAACATGTACATGATTTAAAGTAACAATAATAATAACAATCATTCCCTTACCTGCAATTGTGCCTTTTTAACATTTCTATTAAGTACAGTACTAATGTATTTTAGACATGATTCTCTACTGTCGCTTGACACCAGAAGACTATGCATTACTTTGAACAACTCAGCCTGAAGTAAAGTCACACAAAAATATTAATATATAATATATTGAATCCAGTCAAGTTAATTAAAAACAGTTCATGATTGCTGGAAATGATTCATGATTCTACCAACATCCAAAGGCATAAAAAAACATCCACATTTGCTGGATGTGAGAGCAGTGTACAATTATCGAGAAGAGACTCACCCTGACAAATTCCAATGAAGTCTGAAGAGAAGCAGTAGTCAATTTCACTTGTTCTTTTGTCATAATTTTTGCAGAACAATATTTTTCCACTACTTTGGGCTAAAAAGAGATTRAAATATCATCAATAACTAATAAATAATTAATTGGTGATTTATCAATTGTTAGTTTTTAATCGTAAATATTGCTACTTACACTATCTTCTGCAAATACTGACAAGCTAAAGAAAGGCCCTAGGAATGAGAGCTTCTCTATTTCTTTGCCCACAGCATCTGAAAGTGGACTTGGCATCCAACAGTCCAGCAGCACAATCTAATYACAGAACAATCAAATTAGAAATCACATTTTTTCCCCTTCTTTCTTGTTTTGTACATGTATTTGTTTGTTCTGTTTATACATTCCACACACCCCTGCACTGTTCCAAGACTCATCCAGGAGTATAGACTATAGATGTAGCTGATCCCCACTCCTGCAACCTTTTTCCCTTCACCCCCCCCCCCCCCTTAGAGAGTTAAGGGTCCCCCCACCCCACCCCTCTGGAGCTAGTTTTGTACTTACTGTATTACATATTGGTCTGACGGATGAACTTCCCACTCTAATGTCACACAACTCAGACAGACTCTGCAAGTAAAGGTAAAGGTAACATACATGTACACAGTGTAAAAACAAACAATATCACTTAATATATAAACTACTTTTGGACCACAGCCTGTGTGTGCAATCTATTAATTCCTAATTGCAGTATTTGTACTCTACTCACCGTTAATATTGTTTTATAGTGATCATCTACCAAAGTTGTTTTTCTCATTTCTTGCATCATTCCAAGCAGCACAGGAATGAAGGCTTGTGATAAAAGGTCTTTATTTTGACCAGCCGATACTACCAAGTCATTGATGAACCCTCTGGGAATCTGGTCTTTTTTGTGAATAAGATATGTGACCAGTGGTGATGTACAAGACAACAATCTAGATAAAGAATATCAAGATAGTGTTTAAATTCATTATCAAATTCATTTACAATTAGTAAGGTAAACACAATGGCAAATCATTGCCATACCAGACATCTGTTTATTGTACATTTGTAAACTTAACTCATGAGTTTAGATTAAAGACATTAAAAAAAAAAAACATACAGGAACCACAACTTTCGTTTAATAGCATGTCCTACAACTCCACATGTGGCCCTACAATACAACAGGGGTACTGAGGGGAAGGGTACAAATTACAACAACGGATGGCTCGTTAAATAATCAAAGTCAAAACAAACATACTTTTCATGGGTAAGAGCATTCACCAACACCAGAAGAGAAAATGAAACACATTGTTGTCTTGCTTGGTTAAGAAAGTTTGTCCAGTTATTATCTTGTAATCGCTAAAAAAAATAAACNNTTATGCGCGATTTGGTAAATTATGCGGAAAGGGAGCAATTATGCGCGTCCGCATCCGCGCATAATTCCGACATGCCTGTACAAAGTGTAAAGTATCAGATTTGTACTTAGTAACAACTGATAGTAGTTTTTACCAGAGAGTGCAGACACAAAAAGCATAAAAACGTTAACATTATTTTGCCTACAATTCTTGTCATAGAACTGAAGACCTGATAATGTAAAAGCTTTTCATACTATTATATTGTTTTTTATCATGTTCCACATTCACACATTGAACTCACACTACAAATAATATATATTAATTAAACTACAAATGAAACTATGGCAAAATACAACACCATCGCTAAATACGATCACAGCCTGTGTCTGCAAACCGTAACTGTTTTATTGCTCATTTGCTTTTTGATTAACAAAATAAAGTGCTTGTAACGAAAAAAAAAAAAAATAGGTATAAAAAATATGTAAATTTGTTGTAAAGAAATAGAGCCAGAGGGCTAAATTAACTGTGACAAGTTTTCTAGTTAGCCCCCTGTCATTTAGAGTTACAATGGTAATTACCAGGTATGGAGAAAAGCATTCTATTAATTCCTGTTTGTAGTATTCATGCTCTACTTACCGATAATATTGTTTTATAATGATCATCTACCAAAGTTGTTTTTCTCATTTCTTGCATCATTCCAAGCAGCACAGGAATGAAGGCTTGTGATAAAAGGTCTTTATTTTGACCAGCTGATACTACCAAGTCATTGATGAACCCTCTTGGAATCTGATCTTTTTTGTAAATAAGATATGAAACCAATGGTGATGTACAAGACAGCAATCTAGATAAAGAATAAATAAGAAATTGTTACTGGTTATCAAATTCATTAATAATTTATAAAGGTAAACACAATGGAAAATCATTGCGGCACCATACTGTAGATTTGAGCTAGAACGCATGTTGTAAGCTCACAAGTTACATGTACATTGAAAATATAGAAAAATATACACAGAAACTACATGTACAACATTTATTGCTACTATGTGTCCACAACCGTACATGTGGCCCTACATGTACAATGCAACAGAGGGTCCTGAGGGGAGGGGTACAAGTAACTAAAAACACTGTAAAATTACAACAACGTACATGTATGCCTCATTAAAATAATAATAATAATAATTATAATAATAATATGTTTAATTACAATCCTATCGCAGTGCAATACAAGAGAAAAACACTGAATTACAGGATGAGCACAAAGTCAAAGTCAAAACAAACATACTTTTCATGGGTAAGAGCATTCACCAACACCAGAAGAGAAAATGAAACACATTGTTGTCTTGCTTGGTTAAGAAAGTTTGTCCAGTTATTATCTTGTAATCGCTAAAAAAAATAAACATGTTTAACTATCAAAGATTAATTGACCATTGAAGTTTGTACAAGTACTCAAAAAGACTGAGAAAGTTAACAAAACAATAATTAATAATATTAAGTTAATAAATAATACTTGGCGTTTACATCTGTCATCAATGATTTAAACATAACAATAATAAATAATAATAATAAATAGTATTATATAGCGCAAAATATCAATGAAGTTCTGATGCGCTTATACATGTATATGCGCGTTATACAAATTTATGATATAAATGTTTATTTGTAAAATAAAATTTCAAAAACATGGTGATAGGAGATTGAGAACTCAAAGAAGAAGACAAACATTCCCTAATATACTTCAAGTATACATGTACTTAGACATGATTCTCTTAAAGACTTATGCTCTCAATCTCCCAATAGCCGACTTGCAAATTACGCATGATCAATAGTCACATACAAAGGAATCAAGACGAGGCGACGTGCTAAAGACAATAGATTTTTCACAAAAAAGCACGGCGCCTCGTCTTGATTCCTTTGTATGTGACTATTGATGCGTAATTCGCAAGTCGGCTATTGAAAGTGTCTAAAAAACAAAAGCTTGTAAGAGATGCTCATTGGCCATGGTTATTAAACTGTACCTTTGGGTAAGATTTCTCCTCTACAGATACTCTCTCATAACACTTCATCATGTACTCCAGCTGTTCAGCTTGTGTGTACAGTGTATACACAACATCACCATTCAATTCACTGCTTGTCTCGCTGTCATCATCAATGGCCATCTGTGAGGTTTCTTCAGCAATTGTTGAACTGTCAACTGACATTMTTGTCTCACTGACAGTTTTTGTGCATATAGGAGACAGACGTTCAACCAGAACTTGACTCATYAAGTCATTCATGTTAAAATAGACTAAAATACAAAGAGAAAATAACAACTAGTGAAACTAGTGAAAATAGCAACTTTACGAAATGGAGAAATATCTAGGTATTTCATAGATTATTATATGATAAAAAACAAAATACTATGGTTGCCTGCACTAAATAATTATTTGGTTAATTACCATTTGTAGGGCTGTCTTGAAAGTCTTTTGCAATACCAGGAAGGAAGGTASTGCTAGGYGGTGCATTTGGCTATYAAATAAATCAAGATAGTTTAATATTGAGCCCGAAGGGTAAGAATAGGAATGTAAGGGGAACATTTGAAGATAAAAATTTACAGGGCTGGAAATAACAACTTGATATACTGTGTACACATGTCATGTGTGCAGGTTAAGAGGACTTTAACTTTTGGTTGATGATTACAATTTTTTGTTACATGTAGATCAAAAGATTTGCTCGACAGACAACCCTTCAAGTTTACTAACCATGGAATAATTATAACACCCCTAACCATAATCACTCATAAACATACATGTTTGACTGGTCAAACTGTCCTTACAAAATTTRACCAGTCAAATACTGTAGCAAATTTGGACAGACATTGTTGTTTCATCAAYCATTATTTCCAGCCAACCCATGMAAAACACAGTTGATATGAAAAGTACAGTTACCTTCCATGTCACATTGAATATTCTGCAAACTGCTGACAAAAGCATTTCCTCTGTCACAGTCACCTGGAAACATCAAAAMAAATATTCTTTCATGAATAATTTGTAACTCTAGAGTAACGATCATCATGGCTACTCAATAATCACTTGAGAGTGTTAAGCGAGTGGATGGTACTTTACTTGAGTCMRGTACTGTACCTTAGTTGACTGTRTACTACATGTTGGACTTGTTTCAGTATCTGAGCTATCTTTAGAGCGCTTGAATTTGAATCCATCAGTAGGAGATGATGAGATAGTGGGAGATGACCTCTTTCCAATCTTTTCAGATGTCAATTCTTGTGATTCTTCAAACTCCAATGACTGAGGGAGGGAGCCGTAAGCACTGTCTAAAGACTCACTCTCWGGGGTGGTGCAAAGTGACTTAGTTATGATAGTGTTCTGGCCATCACAGTTTTGGGGTACAGAGGTTGTAACATGTAGAGGTGGAGATGTTGATAAGCTTGATGACTGCCCAAGTCTTGCTAGACGCCGTCGTCTTATCTACGTAATAGTACAACACATTATAAAAATAAGGCCCATTTGGTAAGAAACTATGGGTTGTTAAACAAGAGATTTATACTATAGATTGTAAGGCTTAGAGAATGCTATATACACCAGACTGAGTTATTTACCTTAAAAAATGAAAAAAAAAACAAATTTTGATGTTTTTCAGCTATAATTTTCAGAAAAAAAATAATAATTTTTTTGGTATACAAATGTTCTGGGTATACTGTTAGTAATGAATTGGATGCTTGTCTCCTGTGCATCCCATAATTTCTTCATAATTCACAATGGCGGCCATGATTTTATTAATGTTTGGGGACAGATTGATTATGTCCCACGGAGATGTCCTGGTACTTAAAAAATGACTTTGAAGCATTTATTTGTATTCTCGAGAAATTTGCACAAATCAGCAGTTTTCTTCTTCAGCTGTAACTTTGCATAATAATTATACCAATTTTGTTTCTCAAGATTTATTTATAAACCAACAGCATGTTGACTCAAAAAATAAATTCCTCTTGTCAACCTCTACTTTTGGGAGGATCAGGAAGCCCAATAAAAGGAAATACAGTGAATGACATAGACAAATAGAGTCTGAGGGATTTTGTCCAAATCGTGCAATGAATATGTTATGCACAGTATAAAATAGTTTTAAAAATCAGCACTAGCTAGATTTTATGTTGTTTTCTGTACTGGATAAGTATTTATTCAATCCTTTGTACACCTGGCCCAAGACTATAAAACAATATATGATGTACAATGTACTGCCCACTTTGAGCTTTGTAGGCATTATACATGAATTCCCTACAAATTAATTTGCAAACAAAAGGCTAATATTATGAAGACATTGCCCAGCAAATATTAAAAAGACAAGTCTCATTTACTRATAGCATGGAAGAAGTACTGACAAAATTCCTGTTTTATGCATGACCTAACCAATACAAAAACCAATAATTAAACATCTGAAAGGTACATGTAACTATTAAAGCTATTGTCTTTGGACATTATTGACATAACAACAGTATTCAAAACGTTTGGAAACAAGAGAGTTTCATAGACRAAAAGGAAAAACACACCGGAGGTTAAAATGGATTTGTATTCATCAGATATCATGTCTTAAAATACAGCAAAATTAACATATAMGGCAGCCATTTTTTYCCAAGAGCCCSAATGAAGGCGTAGAAACAAACCTTCATTCGATTCCCCAAAGATGGCTAAGCTAAATAAAACTAAAAACTATYACATAAGTGATTTTACTTKAACACTCAAGAATAAACCAGGGCAAAGGAGCCCAAACGACATACCTCGTCCGCAGTTAGTTCACTCATTTTAACCGGGTTTTCAAGCGCGCCCACAAAACTYCAAAATAACACTTCAGTTYGGCTATTTCTTGAACCAATGAAGAACTACAGAAGATGCAATTGCCTAGAATATTGAGTAGGTTTGATTTTTTTCAGGTCATAGYTTCTSCTTAAGGRAAATAAACGGTTTTTGGTAAGGTCTATCAACTCGACGCACTTTCATGTTGTGGTCGCCATATTTTTTTTGTTGTGTCATAACACCCCACAATCCATTGCTGTCGTAGATGTGATACCCGCTGTGCATGGTGGGRKGATCACGTGGCACATTCATTCGAGGGACGCCATTTTGATCAAGCGAGTTTCAYAAGAAGGCGAAGTTTCGCATTTTTAYTGCATTTTTACCTTTAAAAATCATGAGTCGCGATAGAAGAAACCGTGTTTTCGTTGGAAGACTACCTCCACGTATTGAAGAGCGGGAATTAGAGAAGTTCTTTCGTGGATTTGGCAAGATTCTTGACATCAACTTGAAGAGTGGCTTTGCGTTTGTGGTGAGCTTTTGAATTTTCAGAAATGTTTTTCTTCTCGATTTACTTACTCTGAACTGCTTGATCTACTCTTAATAATAATARTTCAATAAAATCAAAAGAAAAGWGTTTATSATTATGTTTTTCAKCGATGAAAGCACGATTTTTTTTCMCTCAAAAWCTTTCTTTTCCTCGAGCGAGGAAAAGTTCCACGTAGGCTAAAAGTGCTCATGGACSATTGTAAAATCYGATGGTTTGTATTTTTTAGGAATTTGAAGATGAACACGATGCACAAGAAGCTGTTTACGAACTTAACCACAAGGAGTTGTTAGGGGAACGGTAATAAACTGTTGAAATGTTTTGTTGTTTTTTTTATAATTTTTTAAAAAWTTATCTTGGCCCTTCCCTGCCTTTTGATAATTTTGGGCAAACTAATGCTTACTTCTGGATAAGCCTAGATAGATAGATAGTTTATTATAAAAAATCCTTGCAGCCTGAGCAGCTGAATTACGGTATATTTACAATGTAATATTAAAATTGTTCACTAGTGTAATATAATTAGATATTTACAATAAAATATTCAAACTATTTACTAATTAAACATCTATAAAACAAAGTTTTATAAAAAAGAATACTTTGTGTTCCTTTAGTGTGACTGTCGARAGAGCACATCCAAGCCGAGGTGGTGGTGGCGGCGGCGGCRGCGGTGGRGGYTACAGAGGGGAAAGAAGATCAGGCGGCTACAGTAGTCGATTTGGATCACCATACAATACAGAATGGAGACTGACAGTTGAAAACCTMTCATCRCGTGCAGGCTGGCAGGTATAAATTTATGGGCACATATGAAATTCCAAAATGTCCCTTATTAATAATTTCGTTCATTAATTTATACTTTCAGATTGTCTTTTATTGATTCTGAGATAAGTTCTGTTAAGTTAGATTGTTCCAAAAACAGCTTTTTCGTTCTCTAATGTATTCCTATAGGTTTGAATAAGACTTTTATGTGACTGTTATTTACGGCAATTTCTTGACCCAATATCAAAACCAAAGACTTCGATGTAGGTTATAAGTTTCTCTTTGGCAATTAGAAATAAGATGTTACAAAAGCTGTACTGCTAAAACTTTCCAGGTATAGATTTTCTTAAAGCAAAAGCCTTTTTCTTTAGCACAGTTAATGCTACAAACCCAGACTAAAAGTAACCCCTTGTGTTGATCTTTACCATTCTCCATAGCACTAGTTTTATTAGTCTTTGGTATGTGGTACCAAGAAAAAAAAGATATCTGGCTTGCACTCTTAAATGCTTTTGTCTGGTTGGCTCAATCCTGGTCACATGGTCTATTTTGTTGGTATGCCATGTCATTGGTCATGGTTGACCTGGGGTTCCTATAGTAAATAAGCTCTGTTGGTACTAGGGAAGTTAKGTGATGGTGGTCCTGTAATTCAATCTAATTGGAATGTATTATAATATTGGTTTGGTTTGGTAATGAGTGTTTGTCTTGGAAAATAGATGGTTAGTCCAGGTAAGAACGTGTCCAGCAATGAGACTGAAAAGTCCCCTCCAGCATTGCTTAGATTTTCTACAGCAATTTGTGAATTGTATCTTCCAAGTTACCAGTTCAGGATTTAGTATAAGTTGTGTTGCTTTTYATTGTATGAGGGATCTTCGTATAGGTTCGACGTATGCATAACTGTTTATTCCTTTGTAGGACTTGAAAGACTTCATGCGTCAAGCTGGAGAAGTTACRTTTACACAGTGTCACAAAGACAGAGTTGGAGAAGGGTAACTATCAACAGGCTTAACAAATTGTTATTAAGGGGACATGGTCTATATATATATTTAGTATAAACATACTAATGGTCTATCACTCATACTGYGCTGTGATTGGCTACTCTACTAATGGTCTAATTTGTGATAGACCACTCGCGGGGAAAATCAAAATTAATAAATTACAAATTATAAATTATTTTAAGGATATTTCAATTTATTTTCATTATTTGACCGATTAGTATGTTTATACTAAAACAATTAGACCTCTCGGCCTCGTGGACTACGAGCTAATAGCCAATTCGGCCTTGCTGACTCGGCCTCATGGGCTATCGTAGTCCACGAGGCCGAGAGGTCTAATTGTTAAATATAAGAAATAAGATATCCTCAAATTTGCATTATCAATGCATTTCCATTCGTCTGTTTAATTAAAGTTGAATATCTCCATTCATGTTGCATAAAGGGATAATAAAGATTAAGTTTTACTTCTTTCACAATGTATTTATATTTTCAAACATGAGCAAAAGTTCTACAAGGATACTAATGGCTCTTAAATATTCACAACAATCTCATTAGAAAAGTACAACATCAGTAATAAAATTGAACTCGGTGTAAATGTACAAGCTAAAACTGTCTTGCTTTGCAGAGTGGTTGACTTTGCCAGCGAAAGTGATTTGCGCCGAGCTGTGAAGAAGTTAGACGGCTCTGAACTCTTGGGCAAGAGAATCCGTTTGGTCGAGGTATGTGGGTCTATAAACAGTGCAAAGCAAAGTTGGTTTATACTACAGTAGAAACTTGTTGTTAATATAGGTGCTGTTTTATTGTAGAGTATTAGATCATCAAGGAGAAGGTCAAGGTCATCGTCTCCATACCATAGAAAGAGGTACTTGTTTCTGACTAAATTATTACAGATACTTGTGTAAATATCCCCACCCCCCACCCCCACCCCCACGGTTTTTGTACGACATAAGTTCTTTGAGTCGTTTGCGGTTCCTCTTCAAAGAAATTATAGAAAGAAATTACTGATAGTCAGTGCTTGTTAACAATCTTCAAAGTGGCCGATCAAACGAGAACTGATTGTCCATATGAGAAAGGATGCTCCTTGAAAATCTAAAACTAACCATTATTTTATTATTCCCGTGTTGTTTTAGATTTGACCGTTCMAGATCTCGTTCCCCAAGGCGTTCATTCTCGCCTCGCAGATCACCATCTCCTGGTTCAAGCCGCAGACGATCACTATCCCCACGACGTGACGATGAAACTCACTGATTTACTACTCTGAATTCTTTTATGATGTATAATCTAAGGCTTTCTTTCAATCTGTCTTTAATCTAGTTTATTTTGTATAGGATACATAATTTCTGGGCTGCTCGGGTGCTTTTAAAAGTGTCTTAGGCCCGCGGGCTTCCTTTCAACAGATCCTTTTATTATTTTTTATATATGCGCGCCATCTTTTCAGTGAATGTTGCAAAACCTTTTTTCTGAAGATTCTAGTAATTTTTGTTTCCAATCRGGCGGTCGCGATATTTTTGAGAGCACCCGCGCTTCCCAAAATTCGTGTATTAGGATGAGCCAAGCTCTATATATTGGACGACTCACTTTTAGCTTTAGTAGAAGATGTATGCTTCTCACTTTACCTATGTAAAGCTATAATCAGATCATGTTTTTTGGAGTAGAATTTCTCTTCATTAAAACAATCTTAGCGTTTTTATAGGTTTTGTTGGAGCGTAGATGATAACATACATGTAGTCGGAAAATTGTAGTTTTAGTCACTCGGGCCTCTATGCAAATAAAACTTTGCATTTTGTTTTCTGTTGTTATGGCAAAAAAAGTCACGTAACTTTATATCATTGTTTTGTTCAGTTTTATCTGTCAATTTAATAAAAGTCCCTTGAAATGTACCTTAGTTTATTATTTAGAATTCAATATCATGTCTAAGATCGTCTAACACCTCTTCCAATGCAATAGGGAGATCTCGAATAAGCYGAACWCAAAATAAKTTCTTTCAAAGGCTGAAAATTCGTTCGATAACGAATCCATGCCGACCATTAAAGTCCCTGAAATTGAAACCCTTTGAAAATCCTTGAAAATCGAGTAGATTTAATTGATTTAATAGTTTTTATTAAAAATACTATGTATAGACCGAACGATTGGTCTAAAAGATGATTGTCGCTTAAGAAAAGGACTTATTTAATTCCGTTTTGAATTTTGGGATAAAAAAAACGGGTTTCGTGCTACTTGAATCTTTGTAAAGTCCTCGAAATGAAACATCAGTTTTCAAGGGCGCTTGAAAAGCCCTTGCAAATGGGAAAAATCGTTAGAACTCCTGATGRAATTGACATTTTGCTTGTTAGCTTTAATTGAAATGCGGTTATTTTGAAAGGCTTCATCGAAAATACTAAAACAATATCTTCCTCCTTTGTTGAATACAGATATATTTTGGAGGAAGTATCCCCTGGGTGATGCATACTTATTTAGGGAGGCTCTAGACACAACAATCTTCTCTTTTACTTAWAAATTTTCCTTAGTCACTGATGTATAAGTATCTATTTAGCAGGTGCTTTTCTTATTGTTAATGTGATTAATTTAMACTTTAGATATTTCCCTCAGGCTTAGTTGACGTGCAGCGCATACGTACAAAGAGTCAGTCCTCTTCGCAACACGTTTATTCGCGTTTACACTAACATAAACATTTCRCCAATTAATTAAAATTAAGAATATCACCCATGGCGGATAAAACTGTGAAAGAAATGCTAGAAATAGGTAAGCCTTTTTAAAAAACTTTCAAGTYGTTTTCTGAGGAAGCGTGCATGAGTTATTCCTTACAGTATTCCATTGCTAGAGTGGTATATATGTCGTCAATATTTTTTTAATATTTCTACGCAAATAAATATGGTTTTATGATCATTACTAAAACGTTAAGTTAAATAGGAACAATATATTTAATCCAATTTTTACGAGGACAATTGAGAATGATAGTGTCTAATTTATATCCAATGAACGTTTATCAAAATTATCATTTTTATCATAAACATAAGTTACTTATCTATTTATACTAATATCGCGAGGTAATTAGCACGATATTTGTACATTAATTTAGACATAGTACTGAAAGCTGGAGAAAGCGGGTTGAAAACTTGCTAAAGTTGGACGCCTTGTTTCCATCCATAATCAACGAATGTCGTGAAAGTGTATTTACAAAAGCATAGTGTTGTTTTCTTTACTATAATAAGGATGACAATTAATCACTGTTTGACCATATTTTTTCCCTCGATAGTTTGTTATGTATATTAGAAGATCTTCGCAGATCTTCTTTTTTTTATCTGCCCGCTAGCTGTTCTTAACACTTTGTGGATAATCTTGCATAGTGAATGAGTACAACACTTTGACGTCAAGTCAGTACTGACAATTAACATAATGATTTTTCAAATCTAATATCTCTGAATTGTGAAGCCTGCACCATCAAACAATTCTTGCTAGTGGCCAAGTTTGCATTTACTTCCATTAAAGCTATCTTTTTAATAAAAAAAATCCGCGTCATAATGATATACTCTGCAATTGCAATTTCATTTTTTTCTTTCTTCTAATTTCTTTTCTTCTACAGCCATTTTCTTCAACGCCATTATTTAATTTTCCCCTCTATTTTTCGTCATTATTTTTCTCCACTCTTTTTCATCTCTAGAACTTCCCTTCGCCACAATATCATCTAAAAAACAACGTCTCCTTCCCATGCCAGTTTGACGCCATGTCTGACGCTAAGCTAACAGAACACAATGGACTATAAACGTGTGTGTATTTTGCTACCTGTCATAAATCTGAGGTATCAKCTTCGAGAACCATAACTGATTTATTRAACAAATACACAGATCGCGTGCACAGATGCTAACAACTTAAAAAGCATTAAAGCACGCATACATGAAAAACAGTTAAGTTTACGACATGAAAAGATCTTCAGTAATTTTTCTTATCGAGGATATACAAGACTTTGTTAMATACATCGTATTTTTCTTTTTCGTTGACTTCAACGTATCTTTAGTCTTAACGCACTGAGACTTTTTAGAGCGAAACAAGCGCGCGCTTCACTAGCGTGCTATATTTGAAACACGCAACAACGAATTGTAACAATTTATTAGCGATTGAAAAGGTTTGTAAATAAACGAAACTTGATTCGTGCTAAAAAGTCTAAGTGCGTTAAGGCTAAAGATACGTTAAAGTCAACAAAAAAGAAAAAAATATGAAGGACATGAAAAGAGTAGTCTCAAATTATTGAACAAGCAATAGGATTGCGCATTTTAACTTTTTAGAAGTCTGATGAACAATTCCAGGCGCTTCTACATTGCTTCTAGGTTATTGGAATTTGTTCACTCGGTAAAACGTATGGAAATACCTTATTTCAATATATATATATAGCAATATGCAGAAATTATGATCATTTTAACTCACATTCCAAGTATATATAAAATTTATGGAAATATATCGCTGAAWTTTTTTTGAACTTGGCTATCACTAGTACTTTCTGAAAAAAAATATTGGCGATGATATATTTTATATATACTTGAAATTTGAGTCAAAATGGTCATAATTTCTGCATATTGCTGTATTCAAACACTATATATTAAATAATAAAATTCAACTTTGATACTAGAATAGTGCGCTATACTATAAAATCTTTATAATTTCATAGWACTGTACAAAGGTTTTCAGTGGATTTCTGCACTTTTAAATAGATATACAATTGTAGATATTTTTCAAAAGACTAGATGCCCTCTAACAGATAACATAGATTTTGCATAATACTAATTCTCAAAGCTCTCAAATGATTCAGTTTTCTAATGAGACAAAAACAATCATCAAAAAAAGAGAATGATATATGAAATTCAAAAAGGAATAAATTGAGTMCTTCTTTATACCTGGAAATGAAATTGAAATTTTAAGTATACTACTGATCAGTATGCGCTAGTTGTTTAGTTGTTTATATTACTAGTAACACTCTAAAATGTTTTTTAGTAGGACTTGTAAATAGCACTTGTAAATAGCTACAATTATACTGATATTTTCAAAAGACTAGTAGATGTCAGCTTACGGAACTAATGGTCAACTTAGATTTTATATAATAAAGTACTAATTTTCAATGCATGCAATTTTCTAATGATAGAAAAACAATCATCGAAAGGTATATATATATRTATATATCAGATGTAACTATAAATTATCGAAAATGTTTTCAAAAAAGTGCCAAAATTTGTCAAGGACTATTGCATAAAATGAAATTGTACTTAAAGACTAGAATGATTTMTTGTTTTATTGCTAAAAGCTGGTTTCGTACTCAGTACATAACAAGATATATGTGTGTGAGAAGAAGAAAAATCATTCAAAAATATTGTTTTTCTCTTGTTATTTGTTTTGTCAGAGAAAATATATAAATTGTATGTTTGGTCTAGATTATTTTAATTATTCAATTCTAACGCCTTGACGCGAGAGCATAAGTGAAGCTGTTTCAGTAAAATTCAAGTATAGATTAATAGAAATTATACTTCTACCAAAAAAGATCATATTGCGCACGTACAGGTGTAACGGCCTTACTTCAATGTTTTTTTTTTTCTTAAGTGACTCAGTAAAGATTTTGACCCCCTGGTTAAATTTCGCTTTTTGGTGCTCATTTCGCTTTTGCTGCTCTTGATGACAGGATTCAGTATTTTTTCCGACTTCAATAATAAAGTAGCGAGTATCGTTTTATGATTCTCATTATTATTACTTTTCATTGTTTTAAATTTGTTATTCATCAGAGAATTGAAAATAAACAAGCATCAAACTCCAAATTCTGTTGAGAAGTGTTACCATCAATTAATCAAATTACGAATAGAGAGAGGTCTGTTAGCGAATCAGTGTTTTGGCCGCTAGGTAACGCGGTTGCAGACAGCACATTGGCATTAAACAAAGCAACAAGGACATAAACTGCTATTATATTATATGTGTTATGACTAGGAAAAAGCTTTGAGGCAAGCACGTTTTGACTTCAATTGATTAATTAGAAATTGCACGCAGCTGCAAATTGCAAATGTGCTGAGATTTTTTACTGCTTTTCATGTTCTTTTGTTGTTGTTCCTCCTTTTTCTATTTATTCTTCTATGTCTTTTTCTTGTTCTTATTCTTAGTGTTCTTGTTCTTCTTGTTCTTCTTGTTCTTCTTGTTCTTCTTGTTCTTCTTGTTCTTCTTGTTCTTCTTGTTCTTCTTGTCCTTGTTTCTGATGTCATTTTTTCTATTCATTTTACTTCTCAGAATTTGAAGTTCAAATTGACAAAGCACACTTAAGAAAATCTAAATGAACAATTACATGAATCTTCACAGAAAATTTACAGATTTACTCTAGCCTCATTGCCTGGGAAACTGAAGAAGGTAAAAATGGCGTGCATCGAAAAACAACTGTGAAATTGCACGTGCCGCCATGACTGTGCAGTTTTCTGGGTTTTCTCTGATCAGACCACAATTGAACGCTCTCAGCATGATTGCAAAATTTCAATTACTTAAATGCTTAAGCGAATCCTATTCATTTGGTAGCAATTTGATCACTTTGCCATTGTATATGTGCCCAAGACAACGGTTGCTTGGATGAAATATGCACATAACATGGGAACCCTAAAAAAAACTGTCGTCATTCTGCCAAAACCGTGGAGTTTCTTCTTGGTATCTCTTTTGTTTTGATTGAACTTCAAAATAAAAACGTATACACCAAAATATAACTAGAAAATCATACAACAGGTTACATAATAATAATAATAATAATAATAATTCACTTTACCATGAGTCGAAACTCATGAATCATTCTCGAAACTCATGAATCAACCAATTCATAAAGATATTTCACAAAAATTGACAAGAGCGTCCCACAAATGATAAATTTGGAAGTTAACATGGGCGTAATCTGTCGAACATTTGAGATGTACAACAGACTACAAGAATACGAAATTAAAGAAAGAAAGAAAGAAAGAAAAAATTGAAAGTATAAGCTGGTTGACAGACAGTCAACCTATATTTTGTTTTGCTAGAGAGGTCTCCGCATTCTATCTTTGRTCGAYCATATTTTGCATYCTGATTCCAGAATTCKTTTTCGAATTTTGAAACCRACYATGATCCCCAAAAATTGAGTGATGTYTTTATTGCTGATCCTTGATTCCGATCCCAAAATAACGTTGATCCTCGATTACCTTGATGCCATGTGATCAGTCTTGTATGTACTCCAATACAGTTTTGGTCAGTAAAAGGCTTGAAGACAGAATTTGTTTTTTCATTTTGTATTTTATTAAGACTTCGCCTTCAATAATTAACAAAATATACAATGACAACAAACGAGGAAAACCCATTTTCTATCTTCAAACTTATTATGCATGGCATTGATACAAACAAGATCTCATATCGGTTATACAAATAGACCTTTTTTAAGCACATGAACCATTCTTAGACTCAAAACTACGTATTCCGGCAATGTAGTGTGGTTTGTAAAGACATTTTTAGCAAATTTAAAAAGGTTTTGGGTAAATAGAAACGAWATTTTGTAGGCTTATAATGGCTCATGTACGTAAGACAACATAGGATATATATAGCGTGCGTGATTATGAGAGCGCCAATTATGGTTTCCAAAAAAATAAAAATATAAAAGTATAATAATTGGCTCTTAAGAGTTGAAGCCCTCACATCGCGACCTAAACTTTTGTAGTTTGTTTGTTGTTTTTTTGTTATATTTTAAGGCGAAGTTTTGATAGTGATTAGCTTCGGGGTTTTTTAAATACAAAAATCTCACCATTTTAAGAGATTTGTGCTTAAATCAGTAGCTGAATTTAATCTTTGTAAAGATTTTTTTTTCTCGATGTCGTGCGCAGAAAAAACATTTACACAAAATCCGGCAAACGAACCGTTATAATCGAGTAGGAGATATTGCAAGCGCTTTCGCTGTAGTATCTTAATGGGTTTTGAAAATAAAAGATAATGCCTTAAAACGATACTCTATATTTAATATATCATAATATATCATATATTAAAATTTAATGTATAGTATTTTATTTTATTTATTTTTATTTTTGCACCTTTCATTCTATTTTACTCTGATTATGGACGACGGTCAGAAAGCTCAGATATGTAGATAAACATAGCCTAAAGACACAAGTATTTATAGACAGAAAAATTAATCTCGGGGAAGTTATTGGACAACAACTAAACGTAGATGGGATACATTGCTCCTTTTAAGTCACCTTAATTATATTGTAAATGTTATCCTATAGTTTTTTTGTTGATGCGAATTCTCAGATCTCAGAGAACTGCTTCTGACCTCTCGCAAAACGAGGGACAATGTGTGCCGTTTTTATTCGTGCCCTTTTTTGATGATTATCAGTGACATTGCAGTGATTTTGTTTTTATTTGAATCGTATGCGTTACTTCAAAGATTGCATATCAAGCACAAGAATTGATACTTAATTGAACAGCTTAGTTGTTGAACTAGGTGCTCAGCTCTCCTTAGCAATACTCAATTCACTGCAAACAACCTGATCAAAAACCCTTAAATCTTTAATCACAGTTCAATTTACTAATTATTCTTTCGCCTTTACAAATTAGATGTCCCTAGCTACGGTGTTCTATGGTRAAACACGTTTCGAATTTGATCGACATCTGTCACTAAAACAAACAAGTTCAGCTTCAAGTGGGGTATACATTAAAGACTAATAGTTTCAATGGCGCTCGCTAATGAATATTCCTCCTTTGTATCCAATGACTTATTGTGCTGAAACGGATGTTCAACTGTCCAAAAACAACAGTTGCATGCCGAATTCCAGCACACGGGTAACACACCTAGCGTAGTTGAAAGTCCCTCGGAAAAAACGCACACCATTTTAGAAATGACGGCGTATGAATCCCAATGGAGCAATGTGGACAATCTCTTCCCCGTAAGCGAGTCCTTTCCTGAAATATTTCTAACGTAAGTGCATTTCGTAATTGCTCTTTTAAACTAAGTGAACCCATCGTAGCGCATCAATAAAACGTGCGTGAAAAAACGCGTTTGAATTGCATTTCATTGAGGTTACTTTTTTGCAGGGAAGAACAGGTTAAGGTTGAAACTTCAGGTAGGTTTTGATTTGGATTTTTTTGGTAGGTTTTCAATGTGCGCCGCGCGCGAAGAAGGTTGGATTAACTAACATGGCGCGGAAGTTAAAGGCGCGCCTTTCTGAGATCGTGGATGAAATCGCCTCAAAGTTAAATGTTAGATATACAAAAGGCATTTCTTTGAACAAAACGTTTATTAAAAGAGGTCGAAAAAAGAGACGAAAGCAAACACCGCCAAGGTCTATATACAAGTTGAGGTCTTCTGCAAACGGTAATCAACTCATAACTTTTATTTCACCTCCTCCCATTTTGCGGTTTTCCTATTCTCAGAAAAAACTGAGATTGTAGTAGCGTTTGATTTGTGCAGTGTAATAAGCTTCTTATTACAAAATATTCAACCATTATTTTATTAAAAGAGAAAATTTGATGGTGCTCATGCGGCGTATGCGGTTGCTCCATCGCCAGAAAAAGACACCTTCCGGGGACGAACTAACGGCGTCGTAAAAGTTAGGAACATGTTTATCCTTTTGCAGTGTTTAATCATCTTTTTATTATAAACTATTTTATTAGTAACTCTAATGCTGCCCAAAYTGGTATAGAGTAGTATATCAATGTCTCTTCAGTCCAGTTCAGGAAACTAATGGCGCTCTTTAAATTTTCAGATCCGATTAAGTTCGATCAATCGTTCCAATTCAGTAAGAATCGATTTCTATATTCATCCATTAGTTATTACCATGAAAACCCCCTACAAAAGSCACTATATTCTCTTCTGAGTAGACCAGGCCAGTCTGGCCGGCCAGTTCTGTTCAAGTAGAAAGCACTCGAATGACCACGCACTCAAGCCATACATTTGTCAAGTGTTCTTTACAACTTAAAGACGGTTCTTTTTTTTAAAYGCAAAAAGAMACCAATTTACATTTGAGGATTTTTTCTTTGCTTTTCTGAATAAAGTATATTCATGTGCATTTTGGCGTGTCTGTAGGCTATTGACTTTAAAAACTCACACTGAAACTCTTTGCACGGAARAAATTGGTCAACGCTTCTCAAATCTATATACTTTAATTCGTATGAAATATCAATTTGAGATTGATGGACATTGTTGCGTGCGTACCTCTGAATTCTTCTTGTAAGAAGTTGATCTAGTCAATATTAAAAGGCTGTTATAAGAACAGAGCAAGACGTTGTGGACCATGACTAAATCATAACTGTGATTTTTTCCCCTACAATTAGAGGACGCGAGGTTAATAATTTTTTCTTATATGGCCTACGTTTATCAAGAAAATCTTTAAAGGATGCGATGAAAGTTAAAGCCTATAGATGGCATAGTCAGTCCGTGATTATTCTGTAGGTTATTTAACAATTGTTTTTTTATCATTTTATTTATCATATATACATCTTTAAGAAAAAGCACATTTTAAAATTAACACAATGACGGCGTTGTTTCTTTCCAAAGAAAATGAACAACATTGACGCAAAACTTTCATAGCACATGCAAAATTTACTTTTCCAYGAAAAAAAAWACTTCATGAGGAAGTTAAAGCGAGAACAATGTTGTATTAACATTAGCACTTCTATTGAATTGACGCTTATTTTTAATTTTGCTTTCTTTTGTTTTTKATCTTTTTTTCTTAGACCTGCTAATGCATATCAAGTTATTGTTAAACAAGCATTGAAAGRCCGGTGTGCAAAACTTTATCATCAACCSGACAAYTGAGATTAATATTATTAAAGCGCAGGTGGTATATTGTAGCAATTTCTAAGCTATAATGAGCGTTGTGCCACTGTTTGCAAACATTAGTAATTTGACGATAAAAAGTTAGTTTAAACGATGCCTYTTGCATTGCATACAAWTTCAAATGTTCACATTTCACAGTKATTTCATTGTCACAATCAATCCWAAAGATAAAAGYCCTTTTAAACTTACAAGGAGATGAGTTCCCGCCTTGCAAACATGCTCAATGTATTTGCACTTCAAACGCTTCAGGTTTCAATGAACAATGCTAAGTACAGACGGACGTAGCACTTCGGATTTGAACAAAGCAATTCATATCTCGACTGGCTCTTTCTCCATATATAACTATTTCAGAATCAGAAAAGTTTCTCGGATAAAATGGTGAATGTCAATTGTCGAACGACGATTGTACAAACGAAAGTCAGTAGCCATTGGATTTTGCTAACTGATGAAAAATAACAATTTATACTACCAATTTATACTATAAGATGGTCTGTGGTGAAAATTGGTTTTTATTTAGTTCCATTTCTATATTCAAGGTGAATCCAATAAGATATGAAATTTTGTTTATCAAAACAGTGTAACGAGTAGTTCCTTTTACAGTCATTCATTCTCCCTTCGACAATCGGCGTTCTCCTCGACAACGTTTTTTGCGTATACAGATATCTATAGAACTAAAAATATATAAGGCGTATTTTTCTCCTGTTGAATAAAACGCACAATTCTGAAGTTTTAGCATGCTCTCTAGTAGACTCACCAATCAACTTTAAAAAACAATAAATTGCATATTACAAGGATATRTTTCATCTTAAACGTGGCTAGCTGTGGACACTTACGTTCATCTTAACCCGCAATAATTAAGAAAGACAAGCATAAAACGCCTAAACTGATAGAATAATGAAATCAAATTTTCTTGAATAAACTGATTTAGCASWCTTGATACATAGCTGTTGCAGCTTTTTTTAAATGGTCGCGATATACATCAAATTTTGGCTCTATTGCTAGTTTCTTGGTTGACGTCAGAACATTCGTCWGGGGCCAYTTAGTATACGAATGGTGTAGCGATGTTTGACCGGATATATCCTTATCTAGCCGATTAAATCCATACGAAATCTAAGGAGTAGATAACTTTACCCTTCAATTGTACAACTGGCCCCAGATGGTGCAGTTGAAGAGTCTGAAATCGTATTGCAAGTTCTATATTTTTGGCATTACAGCTGTAAGAGCCAGTAGAGAGCGAAGTATTAAAAAGTCAAAATCGTTTGAAGTGCCATTTCCACAAGTGAATCRCTACAATTCCTCCTCTAGAATCATGTTTATTGTATAAATTCGATTCYCTGGTGATCGCGCGTTTTAATTATCAAGATAAAGCGAGAGTTTTAGATATCTACAATCTTTCGATAAAAAAAAACATATTTTAATGTAAACCCATTGAATTCTTAATTTTTTGGTTAAATAACAAAAAAGTAAGATCATAGTAGAAGCATAATGTTGATTTTGTGAGTTTTGTAAACAGGAAGTCTAAACTCTTTCAGATTCCACAAGAGGCGTGGACTCAACAACATCGCTAGAGGGAATACAGGTAATAGAATCAATTAACAGTCAATAATCGAACGCATGATCGGTCAGTCTTAATGATGATCAAACGTTCGAACAGGTGGGAGGTTGAATTTCAGCTTATCTGATCTACACGTGTAGGCTGATGAACTAATAATAGAATCAATGCTCTGGATGGTGATAAATCATTATATAGACAATAAAATGTCGCAATGTGAGGCTCTCTTTCCTCATTTTTTGGCGTTGCCTAGCTACTTGGGTTAATTAAATTTCCCCCAAGCCAATTTGTTTTGTTAATCTTAATTAAGAACGGTTCACAACGATCTTTGTGATTATTTATGAAGCGATTAAAAAATATATGTAATAGATTATTAATTACCATTTTGAAAGATGTTTAGTTAGCTCATCGCAGTGCACGAATAAAACGATATAAGTTAGTTCTTTAATAATATCAACATCGCAACAACAACAACAACAAAAATCGCCACAAAAATTGCCAGTGTCGAAAATGCAAACTAAATATTGCCAATGATTACCATAGACTATCTTATAGTCTAAATCAGTTATTATTTTCCTTCAATTAGTAAAAACCCAYGGTTCCTTTCGGACGTGCAATCGCAGACAATTGAAATTAATTCGCCATTTCGTTCTTCCGACCCATTTCTTGAAATAGGTATACGCAACGTCAAAATGCCCGTCGTTGAAAATTATCCGTTCAAGATAATTTTATATATAGAGGATATTACATGGGCGCGCGGAGATACGGATTTTATCTTCGAGTGTTGAAAAGATCTCTCACGAGTGAGCGTAGCGATTTTCAACACRAGAAGATAAAATTCGTATCTCMAAGCGAACAYATAATATTCTATTTATCATATAATTGTATATAAAAGCAAGTAATGTCTTAAAATAGCTTTTTCTAAACCTCAAATGTGTTATTTTCACTAGTGAAGATACCAAGTTTACGAAAKGGAGAAATATAGGCACTTCATAGACAATTATATGATAGATTTAGTTAAAATGACAAGGCAACTACAAACGGCATTATTGGTCCAAYTGGTATCTTGTCTAACAAACYCTACGAAACAAAATTGAAGCAAGTGTTTTTCTTTCAGAGTCGAGATTATCCAACATTCCCAGCAATCGATGAGCATGAATACCCAGAACCCCTCACTCCGGAAAGTCCAACMTTTCACCAAGGACTGAACTGCCTGATGCCATCCATTCCACCAGCTCACGTGATCTCACCGTCCAGGTATAGCTTTGCAACAAGTTTATCATGTGCGCGATTCAGGTTTGGAAACATTCGGTTTTATAGATAGATATTGGATTCCCTGTGGTAAATACTCTATAGCAATATGAATACCCATATTTGAATTTGAGTTGCTGTCTCCTTGGTGACACGCTTTTGACGTCATAAAATGTTTAAAACTCGCGGCAAAGTTTTACAAATTTCAATTAAGCCAAGAGTATCTGTACAGACTCCCCCGATTTGTTTAACTATTTATTTAATTTGATTTATTTGATTTATAAATGTCGAACAATGAAAAAAAAAGAGCATGTCAAATATTGAAATCATTCTTTCCWTTCAACTGAGAGATTGAATCTTACAAAACATATATTAAAATTACATAAAGCAAAAATAAAKAGCACGTTTTTGCATATWTTACGATATATTTTTATTTTCAAACAAAAGCAAAATTTCGAWAAARATCGATGCCGGTTAACCATAACCCTTCATGCCATACCYATATTACTCTATTTATCCACACTACAATCCACTCACAGCGAGGAAACTTCAATTCCTTCTTACTTTTTCTGATATTTATACTAATCTTCCTAAATACAATCCTAGACATTTTACGCGGGATTTGGCAACATGTAACTGTTTCAATTTGACAACATGATAAACACTCGGTACAATAACCTGCCCCCCCCCCCCCCCCCCCCCCCGTACAATGTTGGGATGCTATTTTCATTTGATTTTTCATGCTTCAGTACCATGACATAATGAACAACGACAACATTGACCGGGGGGGACTGTAAGGTCGTGTTGTCAGTAGAACACTAAGAATGTGTGTTAAGTACAGTAACAGTTGATCGTGTCCAAAGGTATATTGTCCATGATTGTAGCTAACTTCTCATCCGTTTATCTTTTTGTGTTTTGTCTCTACTAGTGATGAGATGAGTGGCGAATACAACTTCATTCTTTCACTAGAGACACAGGTAAGATTTCTATGTTTCAGGTGTACGATAATTACAGTTTAATATTCTTATCCATCAACCATATTTGTTATTTTCTTCAGCCAAAGAAAGTGGCCAATCCAGATTGGATAGTAAGTTAATTAACTATTCATTGATTAAATTGATTGAATGATTAACCCAAAGGTTAATTGATTGATTGATTGATTAATCGATATTGATTCATTGATTCATTGATTGAGTTAGTGATTAACTGATTGATTGATTGATTGGTTGATTGATTGATTGATTCGTTGGTTGATTTACGAATTGATTGATTGATTAATTGATTGATTTATAGTGATTGATTCATTGATTCATTGATTGAGTTAGTGATTAACTGATTGATTTATTGATTGAATGATTGATTGATTGGTTGATTGATTGATTGATTGATTGGTTGATTGATTGATTGGTTGATTGATTGATTTATTCGTTGATTGATTTACGAATTGATTGATTAATTGATTGATTTATAGTCATTGATTGATTTAATGATTGGTATAGTGATTATTCAGTTGAATGACACATTCTCTCGTTCCAGTATTCACCAGTTCAAAACAAGCTCTACATCAAGTCCCAAACTCCTTGTCCTATGAAGTTCTCTTTAACTGGTTCACCACCACCTCATACCTTTGTAAGGGCGATGCCGGTATTCAAGCTACCTGAACATGCTAAGGACGTGGTACGATGTTGTCCCAACCACACCCTACTAGACCAAGGCAATAGAGGTTAGTAACTGACTGACYWACTGACAGATTGAATGTGAAAATCACTGACTTGCTAGATAGCTGGGAGACCTACTTATCTACTGACAGACTGACTGATTAAATGATTTAGAAACTGAATAACTGGCTGTCGAACGAACAGACGAATAGACTGACTGAATGAATGCTATTGAAATGACGAAAAGTTATAGTGCTTAGAAGGAGGTCGTTCCGGGAGAAAGACCATTGGAAAAAAAAWYSGRAAAAWWTWWTTYCSRMCYYMAYKGG